CATTATTCGACGCCTTCCGATGATGTAGGATGGTGAAGCTCAGTGGACTGTGGGTCAATATCAATAAAGCATCAGTTGAGCATTTTTAAAAATGAAACATACTGTGATGTTAGTATGGTCATTGTTAATCATTTTTTCCCTACGAAGTCCACAGTTCAACAGTGTTTTGTTTTGTCTAACCGCCACAATCGCCTTTATAGGCGAAAAAGAGTTGAGTGTGTCTGAAAAAGCGCTCGGTTACATACGGGTCTGCCGCTCCGCAATGGGGGTGGAGGAAGAGCCTGTCGGTTCAAACATGGCTATACAAAAATAATGAGGACCTCTATCGATCGACGAAAATGAGCTAATAAAAAACGAACATCTCAAAATGGAGGTGAGCGAGTATCGTACGCATTCGGCGAGAGCAGAGCGCTCGGCTTTGATTCTAACCGAGAGCGACTGAAGCATCACCGCAAAGTGACATTCAGCACAAGTGCGCACAAAGTGGCGACTTCACTGCGAAAGAGGCATCGGGTTATTAAACCGCCAACTATCATGGAGGAAATCAGCAAGTGTGACGATGATCGAATGAAGACCGAACGTTCCATTGCTTCTGCAGGATTCCATAATCCAAACCGCGGATTAGGATAGAACGCTTTTAAAAACTTGATCCTCGTTTTACCTGCTCGACGCTGCGTACGTTCTCGTCGTTGAAACGCGAGCCGCTATTTCTTAAAAAAGCAGGGAAAATCAAGATTTTAAATATAAACTAGCTTACCTTCCTCTTGGGCATTTTTACAAAATTTCCTGTCACTTGTCTTATTAAATTAGAAAAGCAGGTATGGACCTGTGAGGTGGGGAAGTGAGTTTAACTACGACCGATCAATATCTAAAACACCTCTGGTAATAACATGTTAATATTATGCAGACCTCAGACTCTACCCTCGTCTTTGTCCATTGGTCAGTTCGGTCCACACTTAACCACCATTCCTCAAAGCGATTGGTCTGCGAGGCAAATATGTTAATATAACGCGCTCAGACATTGGTTCGACTTTAGGAAAGCTCTTCAGCCGCTCAACCTCATTGGTTACGCGCTCTCTGTATGCAAATGACAGCGCTTTGTATTGGATGGGTTTAAAGGTCCGCGTGAGAGGGGGATAAAGCGACGACACACCAATCCACGCTTGACACCGCACGCTCGGCTGTATGGGAAACGTATGCGCGGCCTCAAAAGAAATGCAAGCGTACACTGAAAAAAAGAAATGGTGTCCATTGATGTGCTAAGTAACTCTGCAACGTATCGAATCACAGAATAACATTTACTTATATTAAAGTAACATTTACTTACCTCAGCTGACGTCTCTACTTCAGTATCACTCCTGTTAAATAAGCATGAATGAATTAAGGAAATTAAATGTTGAAACTGGAATATTACAATCTAAAATGTATAAATCTCACAGAAACGTCACAGAGGAGGACACATTTCATCCCAAAATCAAAAGAGAAAATTACCTTAAACCTTAAAATGACTGTAATACACAAGACCAAAAATGTCTTTATTTAAATAAGCATACATTAAAAGTAATACAATAAATACTACCATTATTTAATAAATAATAATAATTAATATATGTGGCAAATATAATATATAAAATAATATATACAGGCCTAAAGGTGCCCAAACTTATAATACAAAGGGCCAAAAATCAAACCTGTCTGAGGGCCATTTTGCATTATATCCAATTATATTATAATAAAAATAAATAATTAAAGAAAAATGTAAATATATTTTTTATTTTAAGGTATTTTAATCAATTTTAGTAATAATTGCTTTTTAACATTTCAATGCAAAAATAAAACAAAAAATGTTAAAACCAAAATATAAACTATAATTGAATATATGCTTCAGTGGCATGTTTTTTTTCTCCTATTTTGCCTGTCCTTGTGTTATGACATAGTGGGCTAAATCAGTTTATCATGGCCAACTTTGGTCCACAGGCCCTGGTTTGGGCATCTCTGATATATGGCAAAACATCTTTATGAATTGTTACATACAGAAATGTGACATTTTCTTGACAGGTGTGTCACAAGATTCACACTATAAACCTATAATAGTCTCATCATTGATATAACTGATTCACACGACAGTCATGTGATTGAGGTTAAATGCACAGAACCATTCGCCCCCAAGCTCACAATAGCATCCCTCCACAATGGCCACATCTCTGCCACGACCTTACAATGGATAACATTCTATAGTAACTTGACAATGGTTAACATTCTACCATGCTTCACAACACACATGTACCTTTGGAAGCTTGCTGCCACTCCAGAGAAGACAATCAGAGGTTTCCTGTTAATGACAGAGGATGTTCATGTAGCAAACATACATTTCTAGGTCACACACGTCTATGGATCTGATTCTGGAGATCACTCCATACACAATGTCATGTGCTGACTAATGGTTATGCGTATTCCAGTGTGTATGATGTTGATGACATCTCTCTTTCAAAAGCTTGTGGAAAGACGTAACAAACACACTTTAACCATAAAAACTGTATTTGAATGATCATCGAGGATCACTATTTCAAAATCTACTAACAGATAACAAACAAAAAACATGCACAAAATCAACCTCAAGCCATTGTAATATCATAAATAATAGAATTTGCTTTCACAATGAACCATTTTAGCGCTACAGTAACATGCTACAGTGCTTTGGAAAACTGATGGATCACCATTAAAAGCATAGCAATTTATAGATCTCAGTCAGTTTGCAGTGAGAATTTCTAGATTATTGCCAGATTTTGTTCTTTTAAAAAAGTTGAGTAATGGTGGCCATGAGATGAAAAGTCTGGGAGTCTTTTGAAAATGAAACATAGTCAAGTATTTGATTCGTGTTTACAGTATATTTCAAATGTAAATCTATCTTTGCTTTAAGTCCATGTATAAATTGTGACATCCCTCATTAAAAAGTCACGATAAGCAACATCAACCACATTATTTCTAGTATTTCACAACAGATGTCTCAGTACTTGAGAAACCCTGAAATATTTGTATAGAGCAAAACATATATTCTAATTACACTAAAAAATTTAACACAACCACTTGAAACATTCTCACAGAAAACCCCGCATTTATAAAAATGAAAACTCATTATGTGAAAGCAGACCAACAAAGACACTGTATTAGCTGAGAATTCAAGTGCAAGTCAAGTTACTTCAGAGTTTTCTGGTTACTAAATGGTTAAAGTAAAAAGGATCATACCGCGCACATAAACAAAAACATATACAGTGGCCCCCAAAAATATGTGTAAACGTACCACACATAGAATCACTGTATTAAATAATAAAATATCAAACCAAGAGCCATTTATCAGCACAAGTTCAATTTTCAAGCAAACATCTTAGAAACAGAAGCTTTAAAAATGTTAAATAGTACAACAAAATCTCAAATTGGGACCGGTTTGTTAGATTTGAGAAAATGCCACTTGGTTAGATATTTTGCTATCTAATGCAAAGAAATTCACACATTTGTAACTGTCCATATTTTTGGGTGTCCTGTATAGATATAATTTGAGTATTTGTCTCATTGTTTCATCTATAAACTACAAACTTTACATTTAACATTTATCTAAAATGAGAGAAGGGGTGAGAGACTAAAAGTGCTGTGTGGGAGAAGACGCAGAGTAGCTCTCTGAGAGGGCAAAGCTCTGTCACACTCATATCAGTACTGAAAGTGCAGAGCTCTTCCTTTCAGACAAACCCATAAACTGAATCTTACACAAGACTATCAGCTAATGCATACCACCCTCTAGCTCTAATTATCACGTTCTTGTAAAATGGTGAGAAAATCCAAATACAACATTAACTTTAACTTCTTTCCATGTGGTATGCAAGGGGGTTTCTCAGCAATAAAAACAACACACAGAGGAAAAGTCCAAAATGACCTGGTCTCCCACACCGATCAAGGGCTCAATGTAAAGTTTTAGTCCTTAAATATTACTTACTCAACATGAAAGTGTTTTATGAATTATTTTTATTAAACAAAATACCTGATTTTTTGCCCCCCACAATTTTCAAAACTTGTAGCCACCAAAACAAAAGCATGACCAGCAAGGTCACTATGTATCAGATTTTTGACAAAAAACAAGTACCTAAATCCCTTTAAGCGTCTCTGATAAACTTCAGAATTTTCCACTGAGGTATAAGTTGTTTAGACGACGTGCAAGTCACAACGGATGTTTTCCCTATTTGACGGGTCGTACATTCTTGATATGAATCACTCTTTTTGATTACATCAGCAAGGGTTAGATTGTCATTCTTAAAGTTTGACTTAAATCATCTATTACACTGTGGTTCCTTAAAAGTTACTTGCCTACAGGTGACATTTTTTACATTTAGGGCCAGATTTGCTAAAAGCTTGCGCCAGCGCAAACCCTCAGTTGGTGTAAAAAAAAACTACTGTGAAGTATATGCATTTGTAGGAATCTCCATTTCAGATGCAAAATTTATAGGAGGGGAGTATTTAAATATATCATACAATGCGATTTCTTAAGGTTTGCGGTAGTCAGTTTACCACTATTTGCCACCAATTAACACATTTTGCATTTGACATGGCAGCCATAGTTGCTAACTGGCGCAGCTCTTGGTAGATTACTTTGGTCATTATGGATCTGGATGCGTCGGTGTTCTTTAATTTGCGCATTGTCAGTTGCTCATCCACAGAACTTTCCACTCCCTTCCGTGCTTTTACAGCCTTTAGTGTGTAGCGAGTGTTAATATTGGACCCTTTACAAACCGAACCATGAAAAAAGTAATCACTGAAAAAGTCTTCCTCTGTGATTTTGCCGGAAGTGTTCGAAAACAGAGGCATATTAGCAAACTAAGCATTGTTTAATCAGCGATTACTTCATAAGGGAGCTCAGAACAAAATATCAGACGTTTCTGGATTCTTTCCTTGTGTTTTCAAAAAACTGATTCTTTCGTATTGGCTATAAAAGCCCCCTATTCAGAGTGTGACTTCTTCTATGTCATCATCAAATGACGTAATGGCCCTGACCGCGGGTCGGCTCTCAGAGACATGCAGAGTGCTCCTATTGTTGGGGAGAGAACTGATGTTTAGTCCATTCGGTGTGTCTATGTCCCTCCTGCGTCCACCCACTGGTCCTGATGGGAACTGGCTTGTTAGAGGGGGGCTTAGGATCTCCATCCTGCTGGATGGATCTGAAGGAGGTGGTGTGGCTGAGGCACCAAAAAGCTGCTGCATGAGGTTGGACTTCCTTTCTTTGACCAGGCCACCCAGATCCAGCCCTTCATCTAGTTCTCGAGGTGGCTGATTTGCATTGCGTGCACCTAAACCAGCACGGGGGGCAGATTTACCAAAAGAAGGGGCGTAGCTGCCAAACGCAAGATCAATATCCTCACTTGGTGCATGTGATCGGAGACCACCCGCTCTTCTCCCACTCGCCAATGTGTTTGTGTTCTCTTCTGGTTCTGTGAATTTGAAAATACCGTTGTGGTTCCGTTGCTCGGACAACCGTGGAGGAGAGCGGAGACTTCCTGTGTCATCGGAAAAGAAGTCCGAGTCCTGACCTTGAGTCTGCATGTCGATCTCACGCATCTTAGCCAGTAGCTGCTCTTTGTGCTGACATTCTTCTTCTGCACTCTCTTGACTGACAGCCTGGATCTCCAGATTTCTTGCTTTAAGTTGTTCCTCTTCCAGTTCACGCTGCTTCCTGCTCTCTTCCTCCTTTTGAGATATAGACAGGCCAATCCTCTTCCAATCTTCTTCCTTTCTGTCCAGGCCTATTTAAAAGAAACAGAATTACTGTAGATGCAAACATGCATTTCAACAAGTTCACTACTGTTCAAAAGTTTGGGGTCGGTACCAATAATACTTTTATTCAGCAAGGATGCATTCAACTGATCAAAAATGTCAGTAAAGACTTTTACATTGTTACAAAAAAAGTATTTATATTAAATTTTATTTTTGCAATTTCTATTCATCAAAGAATCCTGGAAAAAATGTATCACTGTTTCTACAAAAATATGAAGCAGCACAACTGTTTTCAACATTAACAATATTAAGAAATGTTTCTTGAGCACCAAATTAGCATGTTATAATGATTTCTGAAGGATCATGAGACAATGAAGACTGGAGTAATGGCTACTGAAAATTCAGCTTTACAATCACAGGAATAAATTATATTTTAAAATATACTAAAATAAAAAATAGTTATTTAAAATTGTAATAATATTTTGCAATATTACTGTTTTTACTGTCTTTTGATTAAATATATGCAGTCTTGGTGAGAATAAGCAACTTTTGAACTGTTGTGTACATTAAATATTTGACAAACATCCATCATATACATCTGTACATGATTGAAAACTTTAGTTATTTGAGCTTCTTTTTTAGTTATACTATTTTAACTATATTTTAGCTAACAGTATTTAATTTACTCAAATTGTTATGTTAATTATATAATTTATTTGTGTATGTCCATTTGACTGACTGAGACAGCAGGATGGCATCTATGACCAGTTACTTTCCTACCTCTTTTTCCCTTTGAGTTCTTCTCATTTGAGCTCTGCTGTTGATCTAGTCTTTGCCTCTCCTTGTCTTTCAGCAGCTCCATTTTTCTTTCTCTGTCATGCATTGCCTCTTCTTCTCTCTCCTTCTCCCTTGTTCGTACCATCTCAGATTCCATGTCTCTTTCTTTCTCCCTTTCCCTCCAAAACTCTTGAATCTTCCATTCTTTTGTTTCTCTTGGTCTCTGCTCCCTGCCTTGCTGATCCTGCTGATATATTATTGAAGAAAATGGATGACAAACAAAGGACTGGAATAGAGTAAAACACAAAGTTCATAATTTCCGCAAAGTTTGCTCAATGAAATATTATTTTAGTCTGTACAATAATGAAAATTGTCAGCATTTTCTCATCCTCATGATGTTTAAATTTGGCAGGTCGTAATCAGTTAAAAGACACAAGAACTAATGACATTTGGCATCACTGATGTCAAAACTGATGCAACGTATTTGAAAATATATCAAGAGCAGCTGTTGCAGAGAATATAGTATACTTGATGCTCTATGGTGTATTTTTTTTGTTTGTTTGTTTTTGCCATTTTTGGAGTTTGACCACCACTGATCACAAATTACAATATAAACATTCTGTGCAACTTCTCCTTTTTTGTGTTCCACAGAAATAAGAAGTCATCAGTCTTAAATGAATTGAAGGTGAGTAAATGATGATAGAATTTTCATTTTAGACTTTTAATCTAGACAAAACAAGTATGTCTCCCAGAACTGCTCTTGAAACCTGACCTGAGATCATTCTTAATTCAGAAATATTATTATTATTATGTATCATGGACACTCATGCTGTAAAACAAATCAGCCAGGTTACTAGTGCTCTTCTATTGAGACTATTTGGCAGAGTTTAAGAGGTTAGCACTTCATACAGCAATGCAATGCCAGAATATGAACTACAGTCTATTCTATTGTGTGCTGCATGCTGGGATACAGAAGGACAGACATTCAAGGCCAACCTTTTTTACCCTGTGATTCACTGTAGGCTTTTGAACCTGAAAGTCAATAATTAAAAATTACTCAGATTAATTAACAAGGAAATTCACGGGTATGTGAGCTGACTAAAAGGATCGATAGGTGATAAAACAGAATGAGAAAGGATGTAAATTAAGCAATAACGAGCAAAATCAATCTATTAACAAAAGAATAACTACAAATATAACAGTATCAAAAAATGAAAGATGATGAAACACAAATAAATATATTCTTTTCTCATGAGTTATAAAATTTGAGAGACATTTTATTGTGTGCTGAGGTTTCTAGCTCAATATGCAGAAATTATGTGCTGTGTTCCAAAACCTAGTGACGCGTTTCAGAAAGGTGGGGCATAGAGGAGAAACAATAATGTACAGTATGTGGAAAATAATGTGTTTTTTTAACCTTAAACCGCATAAACACATTTCATTACACCAAATACACAAAATAATGTTCTTTTTAGCAGCATCATATGACCCCTTTAAAGCGTCACATGATTGTTCAATGACAAGAGATTCTAAAAGATTATTTAAGCCAAAAACTAAGGCATCATTATACTGTATGTATCCTTCACAGAAAAAAATACTGTGAAGTTCAATGAGCTCAGAAAAGAAATAATTAATTAATTAATTAATTTAAAAAAAATCCAAGATTGCAGACAGATTTGTCGATAATAAACATTACATACAAATAAATTAAATAAATTATTCACAGGTTAAAAATATTTATTTATATCTATTTATTATTTAGCATTCATTCAATATATATATATATATATATATATATATAAAATGTTAATTAATAATAGTTGCAAATGAAAAATTTATTACTTAACCCAATATCTGTGTGTGATGTACTTTCATTCTCACTATTCAAAATCTAATGAAATCTCCTAAATGGAGTGCTATTTGCGAGTTGCTATCGAAGACAACAAGCAGCTCACTAGATTTTTAAACAAAGCTATATAGAACATTGGTCTAATTACAGTAATGACATCACAAACTGAAGCTAATCGCAATTTCATGAACTACAGTTCTCTTATGTTTAATAAATAAATAAGATTCAGAAAATGAAATCCAAAAAGACATGTAATTTATAAGATCTCTACTGAGCAGATTATACATGCCTTCAGAGAGAGGTAATCATCGGTCTGGTCGTCAGGTGGGAGTTCGTTGGTAAGAGCTGGAGGCGGCGATGGGAAGTCCAATGAGGACGCCCTGTCCTCTGTCTGTACTGATTTAGTGCTGGTTGTATTGGAGACTTCAATACATATACAAACACAAACATGTGGCAAAATACATAGGTTACAGGCACACAGATATACATAATGTAATACTCCACCCTTTAGAGCCCCTACAATATCTCTTCAAACACTCTGATTGTTATATGAATGTCAAAGTGATATATCTAATCCACAGAACCACTGTAATTAAAGCTGGAGTCACTAGTGAATCTCACGAGAATATAATCACCATAGGAAGATGTTTGTTGTGGAGTCATTACCTGTCTGCTAATAATAATTATGAACCCAATGTTTAAGTGTGTAAGAAAGCCCTGGGAGGAAGGTGCCTAGTACAGCTGTGTAATGGGACTTAGATCTACCTTTTCGCTTGCTGACATTCTCAGCTTCTTTTCTGGAAGAAGCTTTCAGCATCCTGTTAGCATAGATGTTCCGAGCATCCAGCTCCTTTTCTTTCTCCTGATATAAGAAGATGCAAAAAATTAATTAACCTATGACATAATGGATTTGTGATTAAAAGAATAAAAATTTAACTAAAATCTGCATATGATTTGTGGGTGTTTTATGTAAAGTATTTGGTACCTTTAGTTTAGTGCAAAGCCTCTCCATTTCCTCCTGTAGTGCTTTAACTTCCTGTTGTGCATCATGAGTTCTCTTCCTCTCATTAGCTAGCTGCCTCTGAAAGCTCCCACTACTCAGCTCCATGTTCTTCTCCAATTCCTGATGACGCATTACATACATTACACACACAGAGTCATAAAAAAACAAAAACAAACACATATTGACTGCATGATGAAGGATGAAGTCATTATAATCAACTGTAGCCCCTAAAAGAAAGTTAACTTCCTCTGGTAACAGCTGTATGCATATTATTGGCTCAAACTCATTTATCCAACAATATAAGAATGGTAAAAGTAAACGTATAAAGAAAATAAGAAGGTTTGCACAAGAAGGATATCACTTATCTTATGGAAAGACATTATTTTAAGGCGCACACAAAAAATTATAGACTTATAAATTTAAATCAAAGGTGTAAATGTTATATTTAGATTTTAAAAGTGAAATGCATTATTAATATTTATTTTATTATTATTATTAAATTCATAATTATTTCAATTAATTATAATAAAATTATAATTTAAAAAAATATATAATTTATTATTATTCATTTCAGACATATAAATAAGAATTCTATAAAGTTTAAAGTTTTCTTTAAAGTTTTAATAAAGTTTATTTTAATAAAATAAAGTTTTCTTTAAAAAGAAAAAATATATATACATTATAATTATACAAGAAACCATAAATTCATAAACACTTCTGGAAATTATGACATACATGGTCAAATATCCCTTTTTTTAGCCAGTGGATAATTTGACCTTTGGAACAAGTTTGAAAAGTTGACAAGCAGAATTCCCAACCAACTGTATAAGATTGCAAGGCATAAAAATGCATAGACATGATCAAAACGTAAGATATAGTGCTAGCTCAACAAGTGACAGTTTGCCCTGGGACAGTGGGCCATACTTATTGTTGATTGATTGTAATTTTTTACCTTCACTCTGCGTTCACTTTCTTGCAATTTGCCTTGAGTGTACGTTAGTTTTCGTGAGAGTTCCTCCCTTTCTCCAAGATTCTGGTCATCTGCGAGTTGCTGCAGTTTCTGCAGCTGGCTACGACAGCGCTGGAGCTGGGCGTCCGTTTCCCTGAGGCTGCGCTCAGCTGTGCGCTGGTTCTCTTGACTGCGTCTCAGCCTCTCACGCAGTACATGAGTCTCATTGTTGTGACGAGACAACAGCTGCGAGATCTCGCTCTCTGTGTCATTGTAGCGATGCAGAGCTTTCTCTTGCCGCAGCTGCATCTGTCGCAGTAAACGGTTCTCACGCTGCAACTCGTCTGCATGCAGCCTCAGCTCAGACAAAGCGTTCTTCAACTCGTTGATCTTTAGCAGACGTGCTGACAGCATGCGTTTGGTGACCGGGTCCACTTCTTTGGATGGAGCGTCTTTACTCAAAGTTTGGGATCGGATGCCTCCTGACCGCTGCTGAGGATGATGGGAGTGGGGTGGGAGACGGCGTGACACACCTTTACGTACACCTGAAAGGAACAACCAATATAAGTACAAATAAGTAATTAAATAAAGAATAAAATAAAGAATATTAAAAAAATACATAAAAAAAGAAAAATATGTGCAGCTACAACCACATATAGGAATACAAAAAATATATATATATATATATATATACACATACATACATACATATATATGAGACTTATATAAGAGAAATATATATAAAACGTGTGTTATTTATTTTTGTAATGGCAAAGCTAAAATTTCAGCCTTTAGTGTCACATGGTCTTTCGGAAATCATTCAAATATTTATTTTGTGCTCAAGAAACATATCTTTTTATTTCCAGTGTTGAAATCTGTTGAGCTGCTTAATATTTGGTGTAAACACAAAAATTGCATATTTTTCAGGATTATTTGATGAATAGAAATGTCAAAAGAACATCATTTATTTGTAACAATGTAAAAGTCTTTATTGTCACTTTTGATCAATTTAATGCAACCTTGCTGAACAAAAGTATTAATAAAAAAAAACAAAAAAAACATGATAGTTTTCCATTCACGTGACACTTGATGCTAAATGTCTCTTGTGCAATCTGCTGGTCATTATTGGTACTACAGAACACAACAGTTATTCTCTAATTAAACGATGCTTTAGTCAATTTAAAGGTTGATATCCACATTATATTTTGCTTCAAATAACAAAAAAATAATAATAAATAAATAAATAAAAAATAATAATTAAATAAAAAATATAGATGTGAAATTACATTTTGCACAAAGAAACTGAAACCTATTTTTAGGATCATTAGGATGTGTTGCATCATTACATTATTTTTATGGCAATTAAGCACATCTACATCTAAATTATATTATTTTTCAATTATATTATTTTATTTTATTTTAAAAATCTGTTATTTGTGAAGCATTATGGTATTAAAATCGTTCTGGAAATGTGCTTAACTGTGATATATTGTTATAAGGTAAAAATCTTGGTCCTCAAAATTGGCTTTATATTGTTTAAGCAAAATATAATTTATTATATCTTTTAGTTTTTGGAGTGAAATGTGACCTGGCCATGTCCTTCACAGGTTTCGTGAGATATATACACCAAGGACTCATTTATATGATTGCACAACTGAGTATCTTTTGAGTGAGAAAATAACACTGCCGCCCATCCCTCAGATCCTGGGTTGAATCACAGTAATCAAAGAGTCTCAAGAAACATGATTGGCCACAACAACAAAAAAATTAATTGGCCATGCCCAATCACCACAGGATTCAGTTGCTGATGGCCTTGATCATCATGTTAATTACATTATACCTGTAATTGGTGGATAAGAGGAGACATCTGACTAATTTTATGTGATTTAGAAGATGTACACAAATGATTTGACCTTCTGAATTGCAGATGAATTTGTTCCATTATGATGTGTGAAAAGGAGAAGTAAACAAGATTTTACATAAATATTGTACAGTGCTGAAGTTATATGTACTCAACAAGTTTGTTCAAATTGTGATGATCATGTTAAGAAGTTCACATGATCAGTGTTACAAATGTACTTATAAGATTAGTGACCTAGATATTGTGCAGAATCTTAAATATTTATTCATCATTGTACATCAAAAAGTTTCTTTTTAATTTTTCGAAATTTCTTAAAAGTCCTGTTTATTTATAGGTTTGCGTTAGATTTTTTTACATAGATTTTCAACATGATTTTTCAGACTTGTATGTTTACATATAACGTGTGCACATACCTGCTCGATGTAAGGGGCTGCTGGACACTCTCCTAGACCTCCCTCTTCTTTGTGGAGATGGAGAGGCTGACGGCGAGAGAGACCGATCTGAGTGTGAGACGTTTTCATAATCATCCGAGTAGAAAGAGGGACTGCTCTCTCCATCTGAACACCGATCCCGGTCTGGGTCTAAAGGGGCTGCTGGACACTCTCCTAGACCTCCCTCTTCTTTGTGGAAATGGAGAGGCTGACGGCGAGAGAGACCGATCTGAGTGTGAGATGTTTTCATAATCATCCGAGTAGAAAGAGGGACTGCTCTCTCCATCTGAACACCGATCCCGGTCTGGGTCTCCGGCCGGCTCTCGCGTTCTGGTTCGTGCATGATCCCCAACCGAGCTTTCAATGTCTTTCCGGTATTTCTCCTGTTTTCCAGATCGAAAAGGAGATTCCGAGATCTTCCCGTCACTATGGTGAGACAATCGGCTGTGCTCTGATTCCTGATTATCCCCATGCAAGTCCATGTCTCTCCCTGCAATACAGTTCACAATGATCGAGACAGATCAGACTGAGACTGGACTGAATATGTGCTTCACTCACAATTAATAAGCAGCACACACACATCCAAACACACAAATCAGAAAAGGAATGATTGCTACGGCACGGTATGTTTGCAAATTAGATCGTGTGTGAGCCTTCAGCGAATCGTGACATAAAACCAGACACTAAACACTCAAGCTGTCTGAGAGGCTTCATCAAGTCTGCATCAAGCCACTGTCATGTTTGTTGCTCATTAACAAAAGTGACGTGTTATTAATTCTCATCTAGCAATGTGGCTGGGGATACAGTGTCCAGCCACTAACACATATAAAGTATTCAGCCATAAAATTACGTACATTACTATTATTTAGTCACAACTGAGCAAGTCTCGAACACTAAGCCATTTAGACTGCATATTCAACTTGTATTATGTTCTAACCAGACACTGTCTTATCAAATCAGGGCATATAGTGTGTTTGTGAAGTGCAATAGTTGATAAAGATCAGAAGTACAAATAAGGAATCACCAAGTGTCACAAAGAACAAAAAACAATAAAGCTGGATAAAAGACAAAAATGAGCTACAGGTGATTGGTTGTATCCTCATAAAAATTTATTTATGACCCGTTTGTAAGGCTACTGGCAAGTCCTCCTCTTTCTGTCCCTGAACCTGCAGAATCCTGATATCCTCTCTGGTCACCGTCACCATGGAGATTGAGTCTGCCCTTTTGTAAGTGGCCAATAATATCATTCATTCCTTAATGGCATGCTAAACACATTCAGTTACTGCCTGACCTTTCACCTCCCTCTTTTTTGGTAAAATGTTTATTAAGACACCCATTATGAAGTGCCATAAATCTAAATTTTTGCAAAAAGAAACAAATTCTTTAAAGTTAGGATCAAATATTTAAAGTTAATATTCAAATATCGGAATTAAGGAAATCTTGAGTTATATGAGGCCTTCCCCAAATAAATATCAGCCCTATTTGCTACCTGCAGGTACAGACCTATTTAAAATATACTACTACTAACAATAATAATAATAATAATAATAAACAAATTATAATAAATTAGATTTTCATTCATGTCAGTGCCGATAGGTTTGCGGGCAGCATGCCGGCATACAGTGCTGTTGCGCTATGGGTGTCCCGAGTTCGAATCCCGACACAAGAACCTTTCCCGATCCCGCCCCACAATCTCTTTCCCGCTTCTCTTCTTGTCAGTTCTGATCTGCCCTATTATAATAAAAGCAAAAATGCCAAAAATCTAATAAAATAAAGATCTGCATTCATTAGTAATTGAAATCCATTTTTTCTGCCAAGTACCTGTCTTGCCTTTAGGTAAGGAATCTTATGCAAATGTAAAACTGATACAATACCACAGAAGTTAAGAGAGTTTTCTACGTATACAGTCTAATGATAAAACTTTTTATATTGCCAATGAGGAGCCCATTGTGTTTTGGATATACTGTATATGACATGCTGGCATCAAGAACTGAAACCATCTGCACTTGACGCGCCAGTTTGAATGGCCTTAGTAACCATAACAGCAACAAATGTCAATCAGTTTGGTTGATATTCCTATATAAAATTGACTTATATTCCGAAATATATAAAATAATATTGTGATGAACTTACAATAATGGAGTTATTATAGTTGCTGTTGCCAAATATCATAACAAACGAGATTTTCAAAGGCAGAATTGTAAGTCATATAACAATATAACAGTAAGTCCAACTACAGGTGTCCTTAAACAATAAAAAAAAAGCGGTCGTGTCTTCGTTTAAAACAAAACAATGTAAGGCTGTATCTTAATACGTGTATGTATATCTTAAGAAGCTGCTAGTGTTTCTTGTTTACAACCTGATTGTTCGTATTGTGTTCATGACAAAAGTTACAAAAGCAATAGCAAACGCTGTACGTACACTGCTGCAACAACGCGCGTGAAATCAATTTAAAAGTAACGTTACTTACCAGTTTCTTACCCTTCTAAGTATCCATATCTATACAGTCAGTTTCTTCATAACGTGGCTCGATTAACGGCTCGCAAACTCGCTAGCCAGCTACATGAGCTAGCTGGGATTATATCGTGCAACTAGGACAACACTCTACTGTAGAGACGACGCCAAACGATTAGCAAAACCTTATTCGATACGGTAAACAGAGGGCGAAGGCGGTTGTTTTGGTCGTCTGTCCTTTAATCAAACAGCATCTGAGGTCGATTATGGCGGAGATTGTAGCTTTTGAAGAGGAATATGTGCTTTACTGAAGGAGTTGGTGAAATCTCTGAATCCGCGCCTCGCCTTCTGCTACCGGTGTCATAGTGACGCTTCGCCATGGCAACGTGCGCGCCCCTGTCCGTCACCACTTGTTGAGCACGGCTGATGTTACACTGACAGACAGGCGTCAGGCGTCGGTAATGCTTTAAAAGGAGCAAAACCCCGTCAGAAAGATATTAAAAGAGTCTGACTGATGTTACTATGATAACACTTAGTGATGATAACACTCACATGATAGATAAATTATAGATGGTTAAAATATCTATTTTCAATAGAAACAATGCTAAATGAAAATGATAAATATCTAAATAAAATCCAAATAATAAAATTTGAGTCCCATTAAAATATATTTTTGTCTTCACAGTAAGAACAAACATGCAAATGACCAAATAAATACCATGTAAATATAATAATAAATACAATTTATTTTTTTTAAAACTTGGAAAATTAGCAAAAGAAAGCCACAACCACAAGTGTCTCGTTGATTTAAAATATTTTTAATAAAATCAAATTAAAGATGGAAGAAGGCATGTTGGTGGTCCTATACCGTTCTTGTAATATTTATAAGTTTCAATGTTTTAAGAACATTTGGACATGGTGGAATGACCTGCCCAACTCAATCCGAGCAGCTGAGTCCTTAGCCATCTTCAAGAATCGACTAAAAACACATCTCTTCCATCTATTTATTTACTAACTGCTTGTTTTCTTTTTAAAAAACTAACACTATAGCTCCTCTAATCTTTTTGTATTCTATCTATTTGTTTTCTTTTTATTTATTATAGGCTACAATTAACAAAAGCAAAATAGGCCTCTAACACTAGCTTGCTCTATTTTTTTTCTATTCTATCTGTTTTCTTTTTATTATATGATTTTTTAAAAACTTGCTACGTGTACTGCATTAAGCTAACTGAGACTTGTATATCATTGCTCTTTTGTTGATTTTGATTGCTTCCATTGTCCTCATTTGTAAGTCGCTTTGGATAAAAGCGTCTGCTAAATGTCTAAATGTAAATGTAATCTACACATACGCATAATGGCAACAATGTTTTTCCTATATTTTATTATATTCAGTAGTTTGCCATTTCATTTCATTATGATAACACTTCGCAGCAACATCCTAACTATGGCAGTAATATATTTGCTTGAGAGGAGGACTTACGTAGCTTTTCAGGTATTTGACCTATTATAATCGAATACATTATAATAAAACAAGGATAGCCTTCGGTTTTGTGGTAGGAGATGGAAACTACATTTCCCATGATTCACGTCTTGAGCTGGAGCCAGAGGATAAGCGCTGCGAGTCTCTCGCGCTCTCGAGTGAAGTGCACTGATGGAGCACGAGCGGCTTTATTATAGAACACCGGGCGCGCGCACTCACTTTAATTTCAAAGGGTGGCGTTGACGTCACCGCAGGTCCAAAGAAGTCTATAGAAAGGGAGAGCGCAACATTTCCCAGCCTTCATTCTTCCGAGACAGGGCAAGTGAGGATTACGATGGTCATCAGAGTGTATATCGCGTCCTCCTCCGGGTCTGTCGCGGTGAGTAACATGTTTACATCGCGCATTTCAGAGTTGCGTGTTGTAAAACTGGAGACTACCGGGAATGACACCAAACGACAGCTAATTTTTATTCTGTGATCTACAATTTTATAATCTATTCTATATATTAAATATGTTAAATAGATGTAAGAATGTCTTGCATAGATTTATATGAATAACTTAGCTTCATGATACATTTATGGCACTCAGTAAGGTTTTTATGTGCACGCGAGTTATATATGAATATGTCAATAAGAGTGTCTTTATTTTCAAGTAAGCCCGGGCCACTTCATGAACTTAACCCATCCTGGAAAACCCACCCTCTCTTTCAGGCGATACCATGGTACAGTGACTGATTCAAATAGCAATATATGGTACCTTTAATAGCCTATAAACCATTAATCAATTATCCATGCTCGTGGTATTTACATGCCACTCCAAGAATAATTTTCCCAAAAAAAACACATGGTATTACCATGATTTCAGGGTATAACTGTGGTACGTTTTGGTATTTTACATTTACATTACATTTTGGTGCCAAGTGCACCTACCTGTAAAACTGGGGCTGTTTTCAAGCCACACATTGCAGAACATTCTGGGTAGATATGACTTATTGTGACTCTAAAATGTATTAGTTACATAACCACTGCCAAACTCAGTTCTGATCTATATATTCAGAAACGATTTCTATCAAATGCTTTTCAGTGGTTATGGTTTATGCGGTATTTGAGATAATCCAAGCTGTTGTCCACCTCGGCGCACTGCAAACAGCCATAAAGCTTAGAGGTTGGACAAAGTGCACGTTTACAGTAAAAGCCAACCCCACTGCCAACTCCAATGCCACAATCACTGGCGTGCAGATCAGCTCGGTTTTAATCGCTCTGTTTTACAGCCTGCAGGGAAAGCACAAGAAATGTCCTGATGCATTCAGAGCTGGGATTATATTTCAGCCTTTTAACAGGCTGGTCCTGTGACATTGATTTTTAGTTCTTTAAATGAGGAGATTAGTGGTCGACCGATATTGTTTTTTTGACTGCCGATATCTTGGAAAGCAGGGTGGCCGATGGCCGATATAAAGCCGATATACTTTTATTTATTTTATTTAATATTTAAGAAATTTGAAATCATTTGAAAATGGATTAAAAAAATAAATGTGTAAAATAAACATGCTTATACTTTAAAATACAAAGTAAATACAAAGTATTTTCACAAATAAATATTTAATAAAAACATAATTAAAAAGTAAGTAAACACTGTAACCAACAGGGCACTCAGTATTCTGGGAAGTTTGTGTGCATTGGAAATCACATTTTATTTATTTTAATTAATATTTAAGAAATTTGAAATCATTTGAAAATGGATTAAAAAAATAAATGTGTAAAATAAACATGCTTATACTTTAAAATACAAAGTAAATACAAAGTATTTTCACAAATAAATATTTAATAAAAACATAATTAAAAAGTAAGTAAACACTGTAACCAACAGGGCACTCAGTATTCTGGGAAGTTTGTGTGCATTGGAAATCACATTTTTTCAAATAAAGCCAAGGTAACACTCATTTTACATACAGCACACAGTAAAAATGACATGAATATGACAGTGGGCAAAAGCATGAAGCGCAGCATAATTTGAAA